AGCAAGGCATCTCTGTCACGGTGGAGAGTTTGGGAGATAGAGAGCTTTGGGCTTTAGGAAACAGGATCGACCAAGAAAAGTGGTGGAGAGTACAATACGGGATGAAGGATGCTCAACAGCCGCAGCAATCGCAGAAGTCGTCAACAACGACCAAGAAAACGGGGCGAATATCGATAAAGACTGAAAACCCCTATCGACATGTGGCGGTTGAATAGATGGGGGATCTGCACAATACGATGGTAAGTCGAAGTTCCAGGTCGTCGGACGCCTGTGTCACTGGAGGTAGACATTCGCTAATATTCACATCCAGGCTCTTCCCACTGCTAATGACATTCTTAATGGATGTAGGGTCGGAGGGCGTGGATGTTGAATGCGTCGGTGATGTGTTGGGTCAGTTGTCTGGTGAATAAGAGGATGGCTACAATGAGACGTGCCGTTTGGGGCAGGAGGGGATGTCGTTGGCATAGAGCGTTCGATCAGATGGGGAGATGGACAAGAAAGCCCCTTCAAGAGCTCCGGAAGCGAATGCCATCGTTCATTTCACACTGCGCATACGTGTTGTCATCGAGACAGCCGAGTCTTCGTATTCAGCCTCGCCATGGCTGTTTTTCATTCTTGGTCATCTTGGCCAGCGCGTGCGTTGGGTGATCTCAACTCCTCATATGTGTCCAACGCGATGCCCTAGGCACATCTGGCGCATCCAGAAGCGAAACTTTGCTGGACAATTTTTGGTCGTGGGGGTCATCATGGGGGTCGACCGAAGTGGGATAGCGCCACCCCCACGACGGATGAAGGGGAAGGTGTCCTGTCAGCCTGTCAACCTGCATCTGCCAAGAGCAACTGGCACTTCCACTTTCAGCCTCGCCACCTTTTTGTACGAGGTACAAGGAGAAATGAACAAACGGCCACCATCATCCGATCATGCCCGTCCCCCGCTCAAAGTGCCTTTCGCCGTTGCCGACCGACTCCTTCGCTTGTATTCTGGAAGCGACAGAGTGTCGATCTTCTCTGTCTGTCCAATCCTGGGGCTTTTCAATTGCCGATCAGAGTTGCGGGGTTGTGCATCAGCTGTCACACAACCCTGCACCGGCTTCAGTCCCTCCAATGGCCATCCTCCCTCCAGACTTCTACCCCAGCCCGCATATCTGACTACTGTACTCCGCGCATTTCTCGGGCTTTGCCAGATGGTCAAGGTGTAGGGTGAATGATGCATGCCCAGACCCCACACCTGTGATACTAGCTGATTCCAGATCCCAAACCTCCAAAATTTCTCGACCTCATTTTCGACTCCCCATCTAGGCGAGGGTGACAGATTGGCACATTAGATACATAAATATCTTCTTGTTGCGTCCCTTGTTGGTCCTTTCCCCAGTCACTTCAACAAGATCCTGGGGACGTGGGAAACATCAACGGCATTCTGCAATATACCAAGCGCCACCTTTACGATGACCACCTTTGACGACAAAACCCTCCGCGAGGCTCACGCCGAAGATGTCGAGTCCGGTCGCCTGTCCAAAGACATCATCACTGAGCGTAGAGCATCTCTGAAGCACGCCGACCGAGCCCTTGCTATTGTGGGAGACCAACGAGTGGAGCTGACCGAAGAAGACGTGAGTTTCGGAATCATTACGGGGGCAACATTAAGTCTGACAAAGTGTGCTAGAACAAACGCATCCGACGCAAGACGGACAAAGTCATCCTGTCCATTCTCGTCTGGGTCTACTTCCTCCAGATTCTCGACAAGTCGGTGCTCGGTTATGGCGCTCTTTTCGGCCTCACCGAGGATACACACCTCACCGGTGATCAGTATTCCTTTCTAGGATCTATCGCCCCCATCGCACAACTTGCCTGGCAGCCATTCTCATCCTTCCTCATTGTACGAGTCCCTCATCGCATCCTCATGCCGGCCCTTTGCCTTGGATGGGGTATTGCTCAAGCTGCGATGGCAGCTTGTCACAATTACAGCTCGCTCCTGGCTGCGCGTTTCTTCCTCGGACTGTTTGAAGCCGGCTGTCTACCGCTTTTCAGCGTCATCACGAGCCAATGGTACCGTCGAGCAGAACAACCCCTCCGCGTTGCAGCCTGGTATGGTACCAATGGAGTTGCGACCATTGCTGCTTCAGGCATCTCCTACGGACTGGCTCACATCCCCTCATCCGCTCTGGCGTCGTGGCAGATTATTTTCCTGTTCGTCGGCCTGGTCACCATTGTCACGGCACCCGTCGTGTGGTATTTCCTCGACAATGATATTCCTTCGGCACGCTTTCTGACGGAGCACGAAAAGGCACAAGCCATTGAACGTCTTCGTGCCAACCAAACCGGCACAGGCAACCGCGAGTTCAAATGGCAGCACATACTCGAACTGGCCATGGAGCCCAAGACGTATCTCTGGATTGGCCTTGCTCTCCTGCTCAATGTGGGCGCCTCAGTCACCAATACTTTTGGCCCCCTCATTCTCGAAGGTGTCGGTTTCGACAAGTACAAAACCTCACTTCTCAATATGCCTTTCGGCGCGATGCAGGTCATCGTCATCCTCCTCGCCTCGTTTGCAGCCCAAAAGGCCAAGCTCAAGTCTTTTGTCCTCGCTGGCCTCATGCTGCCCGTCATTGCCGGTTTGGCTGTTCTCTATGTTCTCCCGCGGACTTCAGGTGCCACCGCCGGACTCTTGGTGGCTTATTACCTGCTGGCCTTCCTCTTTGGAGGGAACCCGCTCATTGTCTCGTGGATCGTGGGAAACACTGGCGGCAGCACCAAGAAATCCGTCATCATGTCCCTCTACAATGCTGGCTCGAGCGCCGGCAACATCATTGGCCCGCTCCTGTTCAACAAGAAGGACGCGCCCGCCTACCACCCGGGTCTGCGCAAGGTGCTGGCCATCTTCGTTACGATGGTTGCCGTCATCTTCATCCAGTTTGCGAACCTTATTTTCTTGAACAAGATGCAGTCCAGGAAACGGGTGCAGAACGGCAAGGCGGCCAAGATCAAGGATCATTCCATGGAAGACAAGTACGTTGCCATGGATGAGACTGAAGCTGGGCAGAGACTGGGTGACAATGCCTTTTTGGATCTTACCGATCGCAAGAATGATGAATTTACGTATATTTATTGATTGATTGGAGAAGGGATTATGAGCGGCATCTAGAGCGGCATTTGTTTTGTGTCATTATCGAGATTGCACTTTTATGCTAGTACTAGTACCAAGTACTTTTAGAACAAATGACTGTGTTCACTTGCAAGATCTTTACAAGCATTCGATGATGTATGTGAGTAACTCGGTACAGTACTTGATTTAGTTCTACTATCGGTTCAGTGATACTACTACTACAGAGTAGTACCTCGATGAGTCTCCCATGTTTTCAGCCTGATAAAGTAGTACTACTTCGCATGCGTCTCTAGTCGGTCTTTTCTAAAAAGCACTACGGGCATTATCTCTGTCATTTGGTACATCCTACAATTAGGTAGGTAAAGTGGTGGTAATTCCCTCCAACACTCGTATCTCGCGTCATCTTGGAATCGGATTTCTCGAGAATTACCCACCCAGTCAGTATCAAGCAGAACTGAAAGTACTCACCCCCAGGTGGAAAATTAATGCTACTTTAATACCGCTTTCGGACTACTTTGATATCGCTTTGATGCTGCTCTGATGCTGCGCGTCGGATCTGCCTCAGATAGATACATGATGCGGTATCTATACTTCCCGTGGAGTAGTAGCTCTCTCTCCGTCTTTATATAAGACAGGCCCTTTGAGCACGATCACTTATTTTTCGTGAGTGAGCTTGTAGGAAGGAGTTTTGTACTGTCCGAAAAGTAGTATTTCGGATTTCCAGCTCATGTACAAAACGGGGCGGGATATCCTTACTACTTCTAAGTAGTTCGACTGATATCAATTTGCTCACAAAGGAAGGGCAAGTAAGGTAAAAATACAACATTATCCTTTGTTGAATGTGATGAGAAGCAAGAGAGAGAGAGAGAGAGAGAGAGAGGAAACGCGATCAAAGAGTCCATCAGTTGACCGAATCAGTCACATCGCGCATTCCATAGTCTGCGTGGACTCCTGACTGAGGATTCCTCTTCAGAATACCCTGTAGTACTGTAAATAGGGTGCGAAAAGTAGAGGAGTCTACTGTCACTGTTTGCAAAGTACTCACCAGTTACTTGGTAATGATAGTACACATGCACTCAATTTTAGAGAGGAGAGGACCCAGGTGAGTAGGTTGGTAGGTGGCAGGTAAATGTGATTAAATCAATCAATTAACAAGAACAAGGCACGATCCAGTCGCTGTGAAACGCGTCACGAATTCAGCTGGATCAGGCTTAGCTGCTTTTCTACCTCCTACTCATCTCCAATTCGGGGAGGTCATGTTCCCGTTATGGATGGAAGAAGGTTCTGTTGCCCGTCCTGGGAAATAATGTCATTTGCTTTCAAACGAGTAGTTAACTACATCTTCCCGGCAGCAGGTACGTACTACCTGTCTTCTACGTCTCGTACTGGATCGCTGGTCTCAGCGCTACTGCTCCTACTCGGTAAAGGATGACTTAATCACCCAAGCAAACAGTTAACTTGTCAATAGTTATTGACAGGGACACTTTAGATGATTCAATCTGCAATGAATCAAGACGGTAACCACGCAGCCTGAAGTGTCTGATTCCATTATACAAACCACCCGCCGGCTCATGCCGCATGTTCGACGAATTGATCTATGGATGCCATCGACAGAGGAGATTCCAAAGACAACTTGTTATCATGAGGGTGGCAAGATTCTCTCTCAAGTTGTAATCAATTGTTACCAAGTAGTACTACAGTAGTACTAGTAGGATGAAAGTGAACCATGATCCAACAACCAACACCCCATCGATCTGGTCGTTTTCACTGATTCATTCAAAACAACACACCCTGTGCCCCATCCGTCCATTTCAGTACTAAGTGTTCCCATTTCCTCCTGTCCAGATAGTAGTATCGAGTAACTCTCCTTCCCGCGTACGACTCGAACCGGCCAAAATCAACCGATCAGGTGGGTGAATTTTGGCATCCCGCCGAAGACCGTCAGGCCGATAGCTCCCACCATGGTGGCCATGAGGATGAGTGGAAACATATTTGCTGGATAAAGTAGATTTGCTTCGGAGAGACTGTGAGACTGTGGAACTGTGTAGTTGGTTCTGTTGTGTAGAAGGCAGTAGTAGTATGTGGTTGGGGGTGGTAGTAGTGGCGGCAGTATGACGCAACTGGATCTGCAGTGTGTATGTGTACGAGGTATGCGTGTTTGTGTTTGTGCTGAGAAGTGTGTCAGTAGTGTAGTACTGGTAGTATGCGAACAATGTGAATGCTTGTAGTTTCCAGTCCACACTTGTGCTGGGTCAACACAGTGTTATATAGTAGTGCGTAGCTTGACCGGGATGAAAGGTCCTCCCAGATCGATACTAAGTACCTACTCTACCACTTGAAACTTTGAGGACCTCAGGGAAGAACCAAAGGATCAAAAGGTCCTGTTAAGCGGAAGATAGTACTACTGGCCCCTGCAACTCGGATACAAATCGTTAAACCTTGTTTGTGCTGCTAGAGGTCCTCATGTCCGTATCAACATGCAGTCTCCTGAGGACCTTCCATCGTCGAGGCACTGTTTGCTTCATTCTGTAGAGATGGATGGTGGTAGAGTCCATCATAATAACTAAACTGGTCATGAGAAGTTCGAGACAATCTCGAATCGAGAGTTCATCCACCGAATAGTTGGAGACAGCCACAAACCAAACGCCGCCGATATGACCCCCAATCCAGGCTAGAAACAAACATCCCCCATGCTTATGATAAGGCCGTCTCGGATGCAAACAACATGAGTGAATCATCAGCAGCGCATGCGCTAAATGCATAGAACCAAACCATGCCAATAATTATGGTTTTCTCCCCCAAACACGTCGACTGTTGCCGCTTGGTCAGTACGATCCGATCACCAGTAACCACCGCCTGAAGAGACTCACGTGTAATGCCAGATGTGCAGTCGGCGCTTCTTCAGTTCCTCCCTCACTCTGGCAACATAGACTCTGGCTTCATCCGCCGTCCAGGGTTCCGGCGCCCCCCATCTCGTCAATAACATCATGGCCCATCCATCCAGACCAGAACTCCAGTGTGTCAGGTTAATCCGGCCAGCGTCCTTGAGGAGCGGGTCCTTGGGCCATGCGCCGATGGGACATTTGTACAGGTGTTCTTGGACGTCGACAAACCCGGCTGCTTCGATCTTGGCCTTCATCGTCAACTGCGTGTCCAAGGGACGACCTGCCCGTCGCGCGCAGTCGAGGAACGTCTGTCCCCATCCGGCTAACAGCGAGTCAGGGGCGAGTGAGCCATCATCAGACATGACCCGCACGTCCAACTCGACTTGTTCGATGTATCCTCCGGACCGTAGATTGTCGAAGCACTTTTTGTACACAGCCGTCCATTCAGTGTCTGTGAAGGCACCTAGCATAAGACGCATATGAATCAGGTCAAAATCTTGCCTCCACGTCCATTCTTCTAGGACGTCGTCCACCTATACTCGGTTTAGCTAGAGTGTTCGCCACATCGCCAGGAACTCACCTGGAGAAAGCAGTTGGGAGGGACCCAGTTGGATGGCGGCGGAGAGAGGTCAACACCATATACGGATGCTGGGTTTTGTTAGGCGATGGACGGCAGAGACTTGTTTCATATTGACCTACCAGCAGGAAATTGGTCGGCTACGTCACTTCGTCTAGTAAGAAGACGAGCATCAAATGACAGAAGAGGTTCGACTCACATGGCCCAAGTGCCAGGTCCTGTCCCTATATCGAGGATATGCTAGTGCGTTGGTGTCAGTCGATGACAAGCAGTAACAGAACTTGGTTAAAAACTCATACCAGCGGCTCCTCGATGGGTGATCGAAAGAGAGGGTTTGGTTGATTGCTGTCCAATACAAGATAGAGGACATGACTAGGGCAGCTATCTTAGCACCACGGTTGTTTGCTCGTTGACATCCACATACCCAGCGTTGAGTGTTTCAAATTGTTGTTCATCGGAGGGCCCCCTGTTGAGATGGTGAGCCTTGTTTACGTGGATGCAGGAATGAGAATCTCGATCATCATACCAATAGTCATCTCGCAAAGACGAGTATCTGGAGGTGTCAACAGAAAAGGGACATTCAGGGACTCAAGAGTCCATCTGGCAGGGACCATTTCCAACCTTCTACCGTTTATTATCCGACCTCGATATATCGACGAGGCAACTGAGGTCGTGTCCCTTGAAAGCTTCGTCTCAGCCACAATTTCGAGAACCCGTGTACTAGTATTCCCGAAACTCACGATATATTGTCGCCATCCTCAAAAGCGGAATCGGCATCGTCATCCACCTGCAAGAAAAGATACTCTGTTATTACCGTGAAGAGAAATCATCCGGTGGGGAGTAAGAGGCGTACATCCACAACGTCCGAGTGATGAGATGCAGATTCTTCGCCTGTAGCCGAGGATGGACCAGGGGTCGAGGTCCCCGCGGCGGCTCGAGCAAGGTTGTGAGGAGGCATCAATATAAGACGAGATAAGCGACGGGAGCAAAAACAGAAAAAAAAGGCAAAGATGATGAATGGTGTTGACTTCTTGTTGGATTTATCGAAGAAAAAAAGATGTTTTGGCCTCACAAGCTTTGGTTCCCACCCTCGCCGCCGACACCAACTCCTCTCATGACTGCCAAACTGCCCAGAGCTGACTCGTTGTGTCGATCTCCCAGGCACTAGGTATTGGGCACCGAAGGACCAAGGGAAGACAAAACGATGAAGGCGCAGACGGACACCACGGAGTCTGGCTCGCGGCTTGCGGCTAGGGAGACTAGGAGGACAGAGGCTCCCTGCCTGCGCTCCACCAGCCCCCGCCAACTGCGCCAACTACGCCCCTCGTGGACCTTTCTCGGTGCTTTTCAGCCTTTGTTTCCATAACTTACTTATCACTAGACCCGCCAGTCAAGAGACCGTCCTTCTCCCAGCTCAACGGTTCCATCTACAAGTTCTTGGGCGAGCCATCGATGGGCTCTGGCCGCATCCGCTTCAAAGATCCGTTCCGAAAGCTACCACGGAACCGAGCATGATCCATGTCCAAGTCTTGTACCTGTCAGAATCGAACACGTTCGAGTCCAAGGATCCCTGCCAGAGAGACCAAGAACCCCTCTCTGTGGTGGAGGGGCAGCTACAATGCTGAGGTACCAACACTTCGGTACTTGTCCACAGCTTCGCGTCAAATTTGCGCTGCCATGACATGCTACTAGGCAAGAAGCACTCTTCCGGTGCACAGTAAACACTACTTCCTGCCACTACTACGAGTCTTTCGAGGGACCTCTCTGCTCCATCCATTGAGCTCGACTCGACTGTCTGTATGCCCTTGGAGTAGCTTGTTTGATTCCTCTTCCTCTTCCTCACACTCCATCCCATGGCATCTCCCTCGCAGGCTCTGCCCACGAAAGTGGTCGCAGGCGTGACAGTTCCCGACACGCCGCTCATCACCAAAGCCCTCGACTATGTGCGCAAGTACTCGACCGACGACACGTACAATCACATCGTCCGCTCGTTCCTCCTCGGCTTCATCATCGCCGACAAGGTCCTACCTGACCGCGACCGCGAAGCCCATGCTGTCGCCGCCATCATGCACGACCTGGGCTTCCCTATCGGCCACCCGCCGCACTCGGACATTATTTCCAAGGACAAGCGGTTCGAGGTCGATGGGGCCAACGCGGCGCGGAAATTCTTGACGGCTGAGGCTCCGGACTGGGACAAGCACCGGCTGCAGCTGGTCTGGGATGCCATCGCCCTGCACACTATCGGGTCCATCGTGTTTGAGAAAGAGCCCGAGGTCCAGGCGTGCAGTTATGGGATCTGGGCAGACTTTCAGGGTCCCGACCGGGTGCCTGGTGGGTTGTTGAGCTGGGACGAATATAACCCCGTGGTCAAGGTATGTATGCTTTGACAAGAGGAAGCTCCGGGCGTAGATTTTTGTGACGTTACTGATTTTTCCCCCTTTCTCTTTCTTTACCTCTGTGTGCAGGAATATCCCCGACTCGGCCTCATGAAGGGCCTGAAAGCCAACATGTGCCACCTGTGCGAACTGAAACCCCAGACCACCTACGACAACACGGTGGGCGAGTGGGGAGACCGTTACGTCGAGGGATACAGCAGGAAGGGGAAATTGACGCAGGATCTGCTCGAGACGTGCAATCTCGACGACTTGTAGTTGCCCAGCTACTCACTTACTCGCTCGCTGCCAATCAAGTACATACCTACCTATTTCTCAGGGGAAGGTCGTTCCATTCTTCCATGCTCCTATGTCTGATAGCACCCTCCTCCGCTACACTACCTACCTACCCACCTGGGCTTGCCCCGGGAGATGTTTGGGAAGATGTTCTATTCACTGGAAATTGGACTCTCGTCGTATGTATATATGTATGTACACAGACCGAAGGGGGATGCCCTCTACTCTACTTTACTCTACTTTACTCTACCTAACGCACCAAGCTGGGTAGCGAGCTGAGCTGAGCTGGTGCGTTGGTTGCGCAGTCAGTCAGTCAATATGGAAATTTGGTGTCATGCCATAGTATGCCATACCAGACTATGCCCCACTGGTAGCACCTACATAGATATTAGTGTCCTAGGTTACCCGGTCATTTGGGCAGTATCTAGTTTGAATCCTGGATGAAAAAGCTCGTGGAGAAAGCCAAGTCCTGGTTTACAGATACTAGGTAATGAACACGATCTGAACAATTAACAATGAACAATTCACGATTCATTCCATGCCCAGACTCTCTATTCATCATCAACGTTCAATTTTTATTGCAGGGGGCAGGAAGTGGGAGACATGGGTGCCCTTGGACATGTGCGCGGGAAAACCAGAGGGATTATTTTAACCCTCTTTCCAACCCACCTTGCACAGCCCTGTACAGCTCTGTGCAGCTCTGTGGCAGCACCACGCTCAACTACACCATCGCATCTCTACCCGAGTCTGACAGGTGTGCATCATTCCCAACAAAAACGAGAGCGATAATGACGGGAGACGAGAGACGATGTATGATGATTGCACGCTGCCTTGGGTTCATTGTCGTTGGCGTCTATTTCTGAACTGTGGAATTCGACAAGTGCAAGAATGAAATGCTGTACAAGAACCACGGGTTCATTCCAACGTCAAAGCTTTCAAGCTTCAACAATATAAAAAAAAGGTAAAAATGCTAGAAATGACCCTCGAGTTCTGATGTCCTCTGACGGGTCGTTCTGAAGAATAAAAGGCTAGCTAGAGTCCTCGGAGCCTGACCGAGCTCACAGCTGAAGAAAAGAATGGCGCCCTACACCAAAATCTGCCCATCTAATGGACAATAGTCCCAGACCACTCGGAACAATCGACCTGCGTGGCAGAACCAACTGCAAGACCCACGCCACTGTTCCCAAAGAATGCTTCCGAAGCTCCGCTGTCACTGCAGAGGTCAAAGTTGACGTTTGCACCATATTGATTCGTCCCCGATAGACCATTCTGAGCACATAGCGGATTGCCATCGGCCGGGCACAGGTTGTTGATCATGACCACGATGCTCGTTCCTGCATTGCTGAGGCGGTTCCCCGATGAGTCCGTCTCTCCAACCAGCTTCCAGCATGTCCCACAAGCAGGACCCTGGCCTTGACCCGGTCCAGCACCATACAGGTTTTGGGACACTGCCGCACTGAAGCCGGGGAAGGTGTAGAAGAAACAGGCGGCTGTGTTCGTGTTGCAGTTCGGGGAGCCAAACGTGTCGCCGGCACCGTAGTGAGTGAAAGATGCTTTGTAAGTAAGACCACTGCCGGGGGAGGCTGGGCTGGTGGAAGTTGCTGGGTTGCTGACACTCGTTGGGGTGCTGGATGGAGATGAGCTGGGCGAGACAGGCTCAACGACCGGTGGTGAAGGTGGGGGAGTGCTGCTGGCTTGCAGGCATTGGGAGTAATATGGGTTCTGCTCGACACAGGTCCAGCCTGAGGCGCAAGTCGTGCCACCGGTCCAGTTGATACCGCCACCTGGTGAATGTGAGCACAATGCGTCAATGGAATGACTTTGGATACATACACTGCTCCCAAGGGCCCTGTGTGGCAGTAGAACTGGGTGCCGGACACGCCAGTGCGATGCACGGGAGAACAGACAAAATGATGATATTTTGACGCATGTTTGCTGTTAACACCAATATGAAGGATGCTCAAGCTTCTGAAGAGTGTCGGAGCAGATGATATAGAATAGACAGAACGTGAAAAGGCACCTGGGCACGGAAGGAACGAACGGACCTCGATCGACGAGAGTAAAGAACGGCAGGCTGGTGTTAGCTTGGGAAGAGTTTGTGAACAGGAAGGATGGAGGGCGAGAGCATTATATATGTACCGAGTACTGTTGAGAGATCCTGGCAATATCTATACATGGGGTCGGAATGTTGTGCCGAACTTCTGGCGTCGCTTCATCTCAAGCGATGGCGTCGTGGCAACACGTTGTTCGGTTGATCTAGCCCATAACAAGAGTTACGATCAAGCTCAACCATGTCGTTGTCCCACGGTAATCTGAACAAAAGAGATTGGGGTGGTGGGAGTTTACACGGACAAGGAGCATTGCTGATTTGTCCTTAAATCTCCAGGAGGCATGAATCCCTGTCCTGAAACATGGCGACCCATATACCGCCTAGTCCAAGGCTGAGACTCCAGACGCCGCACACGGATTCTCAACACAAGATCTGACCAGAGGCCAACGCTTTCAACCGGGCCAGATCCACCAATCCCTGGTCTCCTCGGTCAAATCTATCCTGAAACTCGATCCCATCCGTGGTCTGAGCTTGCTGATAATTTGGTCGATAAGCTGATGGAGATCCTGGCCAACATCCCTCATATCTGTGCAAGCGTTGTGCAGTCGGTATAACAACCAGCTTACTCCCCTGAGTTCAACGTCCCGGGAGTAACCCTCCCAGGGCCAACGACAACGGTACTAGTCCAGGGACATGGTAGCGACGTCTTCACAGTATCTTTTTTGTCTGGCAGAAGTGGTCCACCACAAATAAGCCGTCGTCATCCAGCTTCTTAGCAAGAACGTGAACCAGCCGCAGTCGCTTTGTGTTCCCCATCCAAAGTTGGCCTCGTCGTAGGCCCTATCGATGTTGGCCCTTCTAACACTTTGATATGCACGGAAAACTTCGTCCAGTCCTCTATCAGATCTGCATCCCAAGACTCTGGCGAACAAAATGGCGTCTTCCAACGCATATGCCGTGCTCTCGCCCTGAGGGGACATTGCATGTGCGGCGTCTCCCAATAGGATCGTGTGTTTTGAGCACCAATTGCCCCGTGGTGCAAGTTGATACACGGGATAGAGGGTCCAGTGATCCGTTGCTGAGATGATAGGATCGAGGAATTTCAGGGCGCCACCACCGAATCGACTTTTGATGTCCTGCTTGATTCTCTCCTGTTCTGCACCACGAGCCAGCCACCCTTCTCTCGATGCAACGTCCGCAGTCTCGGTGATGGCTGCCACAAACTGTTTCTTCCTCGTC